TGGAGTCCCGGGATCGAGTCCCACATCGGGCTCCCTGCTCAGCAGGGAGTCTGCTTCTCCCTCTGACCCTCTTCCCTCTCATGCTCTCTCTCGCAAATAAAAAAAATCTTAAAAAAAAAAAAAAAGAAAAAATGGGCATTCTTAAGATGGCGGGAGAGTAGGGGACCTTGTTTCATCTGGTCCCTCGAATTTAGCTGGGTATCTATCAAACCATTCTAAACACCCACAAATTCAGCCTGAGAGATGTAAGAAAATATATCTGGAACTCAAGAAGCAGGAAAACAACTGCTGGGGCACCTGGGTGGCTCAGTTGGTTAAGCGGCTGCCTTCAGCTCAGGTCATGATCCCAGGGTCTTGGGATCGAGCCCCATGTCGGGCTCCCTGCTCGGTGGAGAGTCTGCTTCTCCCTCTCCCTCTGCCTGCCTCTCTGCCTACTTGTGCTCTCTATCTCTCTGTCAAATAAATAAATAAAATCTTTAAAAAAAAAAAAAAAAGAAAAGAAAAACAACTGCTTTTTGCAAGGTAAGAGGTGCAGAGTCATGAATCTGCAGGGAGCTACTGGAAGATAAATGGAGGGGGAGGGAGCCTCCATAAGTTGGCTCCTGGAAAGTGATAGAACACCAGAGCACAAAATTGGGACCCTTAGAAATCTGCTCCAGTGAAAGACATCCCTTTCTAAAAGGGGCTCAGGGTCATTGTAGTTTCCAGATCCCAGGAGACACAGAAAGAACTGGGGTGCCTGAACCGACAGAGAGCCCAGGAAGTGGAGTGGGGAAACTGGTTATGGTCAGCAGGCCCAGAAGGGACTCTCATCTCCGGTGGACATAAACTGTAAGCAAGGCCGGTAGGGAGACGGCTCTTTGAGCACCCTGAAAAGGACTAGAAGGTGCAGGCCGTTTACCATCCCGATAGGGATGAAACGGCTGTGCCCACAACTGGGCAGCAGCTCTCAGGGTGGTGGTGGCGGTGGACAGGGCAGTAGGGCAGCACCCAACCGTGACCTGAGAGCAGCGCAGAAGGGTGCGCGCGTGAGCCCAAACCACTTGCGGTTGCAAAGACACAAAGTGCAGAGACACTCCAGGGTCCCTTGAACTCCCCACCTCCCTGGAGAGTTGCAGTGGGCACGAGCCATGGGAGTCTGCAGAGTCTGGCGCACACAGAAGTGGAGACAGTTTGACCAGGACGGTTTACTGAAGAGGGGGGACCGCAATCTTGCGGCTCTGGGCTGGAGATGTGGGCATGGCCATTTTTGCTCTGACCCTCTGAAGAGGTGTGGAAAACTTCCTGGGAACAGAAGCCACACAGACGACCAGCTTACATTGAACCAACTCTGCCTAGGCAAAGATACCTGAGAAGCAACACAGCACAACCCTCCACGAGAAGATAGACTGGAGGTACAGGTGAATGACAAGCTTATGGATCCCACAAGACTGTAAAACTCTAGCACCAGCAGAAAATAGTAAATTGAGCTCCAGGTGTTTCTTCACAACTCATTTATCCTTCAAACTAAAATTTTCCATTTCTTTTCTTTTTTTACCTTTTTGCTGTTTCAACTAAATTCTTATTTTACCCACTTACATTTTAAGTCACTTTTTAACTTCTATTTTTTCACATGCTTCATTCCAGTCCTTTTTTCACTCTATTCAATTTTGTTGAATATATAAATATATACATATATAAAGTTTTGCTTTCTTTGCAATTTTGGGATGTAGTGTCTTCTAACACACAGACCAAAATTCAATCAGGAACAAGTGAATCACCCTGCTTTGTCCACACTGTGAGATTAGAGTCTCTCTTCCCCATCCTTTTTTATTGTTTAGTTTCATTTTGGCTTTGTTTGTTTTTCTGTGGTGGCATCTAACCACTTTGGATTTTTTTCCAGGGTGCATTTTGCTTGGGTCATGGTTGACATTTTAGACTCTGTTCATTTGCTCACTCATCCTTCCCTGGACAGAATGACTAGAAGGAATTCACAACAAAGGAAAGAACCAGAGGCAATGTTATTTGCCACAGAGCTAATCAATATGGATATAAGTAAGATGTCAGAATTCATGATAGCAATTATAAACTTAATAGCTAGGCTTGAGGGGCCCCTGGGTAGCTCAGATGATTAAGCGTCTGCCTTCGGCTCAGGTCATTATCCCAGGGTCCTGGGATCAAGCCCCACATTGGGCTCCTGGCTCATCAGGGAGCCTGCTTCTGCCTCTCCCCCTGCTCATGCTCTCTCTCTCTGTATCGCTCTGTCTCAAATGAATAAATAAAATCTTTAAAAAAAATAGCTAGGCTTGAAAGAAAAGCATAAATGACAATACAGAATCTCTAAAGGCAGAAATGAGAACTAATCAGGTGGAACTTAAAAATGCTATGAATGAGATGCTCTAACAGCTAAGGTCAATAAAGCAGAGGAGAGAATAAGTGATCTAGAGGACAGGCTGATGGAAAGGAAGGAAGTTGAGGAAAAGAGAGAAAGACAACTAACAGCCCATGAAGAAAGCCTTTGAGAATTTAATGATTCCTTGAAACAAACCAATGTTAGAATTATTGGGATTAAAAGGGCGTGGAGAGAGAGAGGGCTGGAAGGTACATTTGAGCAAATCATGGCTGAGAACTTCCCTAAACTGGGGAAGGAAACAAGCATTCATGTCCAAGAAGCAGAGAGGACCCCTCATAAAATAACAAAATAGATCAACACCCTGAAATATAATAGTGAAGCTTGCAAATCATCGAGAAAAAGAAGCCATACTGAGAGCACAGCTAGGAAGAGGAGGTTCCTCACCTACAGACGGAGGAACGTAAGAATAA